CACACACACACACACACACACACACACACACACACACACACAGAGAGTATGATGATTCTGTATTTATAAAGAAAGTATTTTTTTTTCATCAGAAAGACATCTGTGCTGCACGATTCATGGAAACTGTTTAACATCACTGCCTAACATCGTGGTTCTACGCTTTTTCTTTTCAAATATTCAACCTTATTCTGAAATGTGCCCAAATGATTAAATCATAACCAGCCGTTCTAGATATCACGAGGTTTTTGATAGTTTTAAATAATTTACTCGAAAGTTCAGTGGTCATTATGGGGGATATGGGGATATGGGGATTTGGGGATATAGTGTGTTATTTACTGTGCTTGTAAGGCATATGTTGGTGGGTAGTTTGTGTGCTGATGTTGGTGGTTAGTTTGTATGTTGATGTTGGTGGGTAGTTTGTGTGCTGATGTTGGTGGTTAGTTTGTATGTTGATGTTGGTGGTTAGTTTGTATGTTGATGTTGGTGGTTAGTTTGTATGTTGATGTTGGTGGTTAGTTTGTATGTTGATGTTGGTGGGTAGTTTGTATGTTGATGTTGGTGGGTAGTTTGTGTGCTGATGTTGGTGGTTAGTTTGTATGTTGATGTTGGTGGTTAGTTTGTATGTTGATGTTGGTGGTTAGTTTGTATGTTGATGTTGGTGGTTAGTTTGTATGTTGATGTTGGTGGGTAGTTTGTGTGCTGATGTTGGTGGTTAGTTTGTATGTTGATGTTGGTGGTTAGTTTGTATGTTGATGTTGGTGGTTAGTTTGTATGTTGATGTTGGTGGTTAGTTTGTGTGTTGATGTTGGTGGGTAGTTTGTGTGCTGATGTTGGTGGTTAGTTTGTATGTTGATGTTGGTGGTTAGTTTGTATGTTGATGTTGGTGGGTAGTTTGTGTGCTGATGTTGGTGGTTAGTTTGTATGTTGATGTTGGTGGTTAGTTTGTATGTTGTTGGTGGGTAGTTTGTGTGTTGATGTTGGTGGTTAGTTTGTATGTTGATGTTGGTGGTTAGTTTGTGTGTTGATGTTGGTGGGTAGTTTGTATGTTGATGTTGGTGGTTAGTTTGTGTGTTGATGTTGGTGGGTAGTTTGTGTGTTGATGTTGGTGGTTAGTTTGTGTGTTGATGTTGGTGGGTAGTTTGTGTGCTGATGTTGGTGGTTAGTTTGTGTGTTGATGTTGGTGGTTAGTTTGTGTGTTGATGTTGGTGGGTAGTTTGTGTGCTGATGTTGGTGGGTAGTTTGTGTGTTGATGTTGGTGGGTAGTTTGTGTGTTGATGTTGGTGGTTAGTTTGTGTGTTGATGTTGGTGGGTAGTTTGTGTGTTGATGTTGGTGGTTAGTTTGTATGTTGATGTTGGTGGTTAGTTTGTATGTTGATGTTGGTGGTTAGTTTGTATGTTGATGTTGGTGGTTAGTTTGTGTGTTGATGTTGGTGGGTAGTTTGTGTGCTGATGTTGGTGGTTAGTTTGTGTGTTGATGTTGGTGGGTAGTTTGTGTGTTGATGTTGGTGGTTAGTTTGTGTGTTGATGTTGGTGGGTAGTTTGTGTGTTGATGTTGGTGGGTAGTTTGTGTGTTGATGTTGTTGGGTAGTTTGTGTGTTGTTGGTGGGTAGTTTGTGTGTTGTTGGTGGGTAGTTTGTGTGCTGATGTTGTTGGGTAGTTTGTGTGCTGATGTTGTTGGGTAGTTTGTGTGTTGTTGGTGGGTAGTTTGTGTGTTGATGTTGGTGGGTAGTTTGTGTGTTGTTGGTGGGTAGTTTGTGTGCTGATGTTGTTGGGTAGTTTGTGTGCTGATGTTGTTGGGTAGTTTGTGTGTTGTTGGTGGGTAGTTTGTGTGCTGATGTTGGTGGTTAGTTTGTGTGTTGATGTTGTTGGGTAGTTTGTGTGTTGTTGGTGGGTAGTTTGTGTGCTGATGTTGTTGGGTAGTTTGTGTGCTGATGTTGGTGGGTAAATCGTGTTAATGTTGGTGGTGACATTTGTTGGTAAATCGTGCTGATGTTGGTGGTGACATTTGTTGGTAAATCGTGTTAATGTTGGTGGTGACATTTGTTGGTAAATTGTGTTAATGTTGGTGACATTGGTGGGTAAATCGTGTTGATGTTGGTGACGTTGGTTGGTAAATCGTGTTGATGTTGGTGGGTAAATCGTGTTGATGTTGGTGGGTAAATCGTATTGATGTTGGTGACGTTGGTTGGTAAATCGTGTTGATGTTGGTGGGTAAATCGTGTTGATGTTGGTGACGTTGGTTGGTAAATCGTGTTGATGTTGGTGACGTTGGTTGGTAAATCGTGTTGATGTTGGTGACGTTGGTTGGTAAATCGTGTTGATGTTGGTGGGTAAATCGTATTGATGTTGGTGACGTTGGTTGGTAAATCGTGTTGATGTTGGTGACGTTGGTTGGTAAATCGTGTTGATGTTGGTGACGTTGGTTGGTAAATCGTGTTGATGTTGGTGGGTAAATCGTATTGATGTTGGTGACGTTGGTTGGTAAATCGTGTTGATGTTGGTGACGTTGGTTGGTAAATCGTGTTGATGTTGGTGGGTAAATCGTATTGATGTTGGTGACGTTGGTTGGTAAATCGTGTTGATGTTTGTGCCATTGGTGGGTAAATTGATGTAGATATAGATGGTTGGTAAATCGTAAATTGATTACTGTGCTTGTATCTCCAATGAATTAAAGTTAGCCGCTGTAGTGTACCACCAGCTAAAGGAAGATGGTGGTGAAGCAGCTAGCGAGTTCGACAAACCACTAGAAATCAGGAATAGGACACAAAAATAAGTCACGTTTGTGATAAGGGTTCGGCTTATGTTGAGTTAAGGAGGAAGGGGATGTTCCCACAGATAATTATATAAAACCCTTAGCAGAACTGTCTAATCGAAAACAATTTTTGATGCTTTTATAAAAACAAAAACTCGTGATTCAATATTGTTATAGATTTAGCAGCAAAACTCGAATGAGTACTATGCGTGGAACAAAACAGATAAGAGAGACAACTCAAACAATCACAAGTAAGTTTCGGTTGTCGTTCTTGTCTGCAAATTTAAAAAGCAAAGCTTTTAAAGTAAGGGTAAGCAGATATATAAAGCAGAGCAATAAGCATGGGTTGCTAAAAAAAAGTATAATTAATGTCTTAATTAATTGATAACGGAAATAACTTATTCAACCTTTCATCTGAAATAAACAAAGAATAAACCAACCATTACAAAATTGTAATTTTATTTCACACAGTTTTATACTATTTACAGATTGGCACTTGCGGAATACCGATAAAATTATTGGACAATTTTATCACATGATTTAATGAATGGAAGTATTAATACAAGAAAGACAACTCATTTTAACCAATGGATTTATCAGAATTAAGAGTTAAGTCCCTCACAATGAAACTTGAAAAAATTAAAGAAAAAAAAAACGAACATTTATTTTTTAATGAAAATTGTATAATTATATGAAATTTTTAAAAAATCTTTGTTTCAATGGCTCGCCCAAACTTATAGAGTCTGCATTTATTTAAATTAAAAAGATAAATAATTAAGTTAAATAACTGAAAAAAAAATCTTTAAACAAATGGTAATCTATAAAATTATTGAGACAAAATGAACGAAAAGTTAAAAGAGAAATAAAATCGACAAAAAAAAAACATAATCTCCCAGGCTACAAGCAGACGACAAGCAGGCGACAAGCAGACGTTTCTCCCAGACGACTAGCAGACAACAAGCAGACGACCTATGTACACACGTTTGAAAGCAACTGGCATTGCAGCGTCTCATGAGTATTGCACGGTACGGCCTACAAACAACTCATCACAAACCACCCAGTACTCGCGTTACTATCAGCTTATTCAGTGCTTTGTTATACCAGTGGCGCAGCTATGGGGGGGGAGGAGGGCTCCACCCCGGGTGTCACATTATATGATGTACAAATATAAAAACTCAAGGGGGTTTAAAAAGAACCCCCTCCCCCCTTGCTGTATGGTTACGCCACTGAAAGCTGGTTAAGACAATAGCAACAACTAGGTATGGATGATTGGTAAACAAGTCGTAGGTAAAGTTTAAATTATATTCAGGAAGCAATTAAGCTTAAGGGGCGGGTGTACGTGGGTTTGGGGAATACAGGTTGTATATACAAAAGGCTAACTAAACAAAGACGTGCTTAAGATAAATAAAAGCTTAAAGAAACTTCTCAAGCAAATGTGAAAAATAAAAGCGTTTATATGAATACTTAAAAAACAAAATACATGTATATTTATTTTTTCTGAAGAAAAAAAAAGAAATTGAAATGGGTTTTTTTAAGGAATAGAGAAAACAAAAATGCAAGGAGCAAATAACCAGCCACTAGAACGTAAGCCAGAAGATATTTGCTACTCCGCTTTGATCACAGTGTAGCTTTGTTTGTGAGCCTCGTTTTGAATCAGTCTTTACAAGCAGGAAGTTAAAGTGGTGCCAAGAGTGCCGCGCCGCTTAATGACGTCACAAGCCTGGCGTTTTTTTTAGTTTCCAAGTCCGAGAGAAAATATAATCTCGTACACGTAGCAATTTAAAAAAAAAATTCTCTAGGTTTGGGATTTGTACATGAAAAGAGTTAAAAAGAAAAAAAAATGATGTTTTATATTTGTTATGTACTGTGTTTAGGAATGATTTTTAAAGGAAAGGGGTCTTAGAGTACATTTCATAAACATCGATTATCCAGTAAGATAAAAGTAAAATGTGTCATCGTTTGAATAATTGCTTTAAGTTTAGATATTCTGAAAATGCTCAATACCTTTGAAACGCTATTTTATGTGCTGTGGTTTGTAGGTTTGTAGTTTTAATATTCAAGCGGCAAATCTACACGTTCTAGACATATATACAAATGTATAGTGATATAAATATATATATATATATATATATATATATATATATATATATATATATATATATATATATATATAAAGAATGTGAGTGTGTATGTGTGTATGTATGTATCACTTTCATATAAACGCATAAAACGGACTTAACAAGCTGCATGTTTACAAGAAACTAATTTATTGTTACATTTTTAAACACTCTTTAACTAATAGAATAAACTCTGTTTTGTTTTCCAAACAAGGGAGGCAATAAAATGAATAACACTATACGGTAAAGCAAGTAAGGTTGAAGCCAGAAACTGGTTGTCCCCCCTAACCTGCATTTAGCCTGAAAGACTGGTGAGACGCAGCGATATAAAAAAAATCTTTCAACAAAATGAAACAAAAATACATTATTTTAATGTTTATATTTTTAAGCTACAAACAGTTACAATTTCCTCACAGCTTGCACCATTTTATATTTCAAACTAACGATCAAATTGTTAATTCCGATGCATAGTTCGTTACAAAAAGGTACTAACTGTTTGGAATTATTTTTAAAGGGAAATCACTCTAATATTTATAAATCGAAGGTTCCTGCATACATTGCCCTTGCCCTAAGAGCCTGTTCTGAGATGGGGGCGAAGGAGTCTGGTGGCAGACGTGTGCACTCTGTTGGGACGTCGAAGTCGTTGGGGTTGACAATGCCCTGCACGGTGTCGAAGAAGTGGGAGATGGAGGTCCTGTTGAAGTTGGTGGTGTCGACCAGGAATTGGCTGATGGGGTAGCAGTTCCTCAGGGAGAACTCTCCAAGCCAATTTTCACCTGGTGGCCAGATAAATATTGGGTCATTTGGGGCAAATTATAAATAGTAAAAAAAAAACGTGCTTGGTATATTGAGGAACGAAATATCTTCAAAGGTCTACTCCCAATTTTGCGCCAATATTTACGTTAAAATCAAACAGAATATAGAGTAATGTAGTCTAATTCTTAACTTCGTCAAAAGTGTTGTATGTTTAACAATTGAAAACATGTATGTTGGTTAAAAATATTTTTTAAATAGTAAATTTTCTCTTAAATTATCATGAAACTAATCCCAAATCATATCATCCCAACCTAGCCTCATGTATTTATTGGTGTTTAAATACCACCCAATGAAGACCAACCTCTCCTCATTTCATATCACCCCTCCCCAACCTCGCCCCATGTATTTATGTGTATGTAAACACCGCCTATGTAAGATCACCCTCTGCTCCCTGTCCAAGCCATACACAATAACCTACGTTCATTGTTCTACACGTGACGTGATTAGAACATCAAACACATGAGTTGTTCTCTTACTAGCCCTGTGAGCTTTAGGCATGTCCTAGAGGTAGAGCACTAGACTACTAACCCGAAAGTCTCGAGTTTGAATCCAGGGTCAAGTTAGTAGAACGTCCTTGATTCCACCTATCTCTGAATGGTACCTTACTCACGTTAGGGAAAGTAAAGGCGGCTGGGCATAGTGTTGATCAGATGAACTCTACTTCACTTGCCCCAAGGACCGTGTTATGATGTATGTTCTCAATATACGTTGGTGCGAATAAATATTATTGCGCACGTACATCAGGTTCGGAAAATGATCTTTTTTACTTTTATTAGCCTCACTGGAACATGTGTTCTCTTACAAGCCATAACTAAAGCATTGAATAAATTAAGTATAACTATAAATATAAAGTATAACAGAAAATACGTCTCTGACTAGATGTCCAATTTTAAGCACTAATAGGAATAGAAATCCCTGTAAGCAGATAAATGTTTCAGAACCGAACCATCAGGTTAAGGAGGAATCGCGCTAACCCTCGACCACTCACAACTTCAAGTCATCCCCCCCCCCTATATCTAGAACATTCTACTCACGTCTGGTGGGGATGCGGTCAGACCATGAGTCCACGGTGAAGTCCTCTCCTGGCCCTCCAACTTGGAAGGACCCCTCGTAGGTGGAGTTATAGGGGACCTCGAAGGGGCGGAAGGGGCCGGTCCTGAAGCGGGTGCAGTTCTTCAGTCTGAAGTCGTACTCGAACCCGGTGTCGATGTAGTGGAGAAATAGGAACTCACGGATCCTGGGAAACAAGGGGACATTTAGTTAGCTCAGTTCATTAGAACTCAATTATTTTGACGTCGGTGGACTAGAACTCGTATAACTGTAGGGCATTCGTGTGCAGCATTTATTTCGAAAGGAAAAAAAAAGCAAGGAAGTATTGGAGTCACACAGCAGGTAAGCAGCTGGCAGAGGCAGGGCTGTCATGGGGGACTGCCAGGAAAATTGCCGGTGACTGACACAAATGGAGGGAGCTTTCTGTAGCGACCCCATGTGTCTTGGGCACAAAAAAAAAAGGAAAAGATGATTTATTTTAGTCATTTATTTAAAATTCCTTCATAAGTTTCTGGAAACATAGGTAGTTTGTGATGCTTGGAACATGATTTAAAGTTATTGTTTAAGGCCTTCATCTAACCCGTTGATAGGAGTTATGTTTTTCTCAATTAGCTCAAAGCGTTGATTGGGTAAATTATGTGGTTAAAGCTGATAGGACAAGTATAGCTAATATTTCGTTAATATCAATGCCCTCACCCTCAAAGCATTCAGCTAAAAAAAATTATTCCCTAGTACATTAAAAGTATGGGAGACCTGCTTACTCGCTAATACAACATAAAGAGATAAAAGTATGAAAGACCAAAAGACCAACTTACTCCAAAGTACAATATAAAAAGTCTGGAAGACCAACTTACTCCCTAGTGCCCCATTCAAGGTGTGGAAGCCCAATTTACTTTTTAGTGCAACATAAAAAGTATGGAAGATGAAAGTATTCCCTCGTACATTAAAAGTATGGAAGACCAACTTACTCCCTAGTGCCTCCACTGAAAGACTCCTCGAACATGGCGACTCTCTGGTTTGGCCTGTCATACTCTACGTAGTACCTTCTGTAGTAGGTGTCGGCCTGGTCGTGTCGGGAGGCCCGGAACTGTGAAGTACCGACACATTTATAAAAATATGAATCACATTGTTGTGTCTCCGTAATTCGATGACAACCCGCTACAAAGGAAACTCTATCAATCCTTATAGAAAGAATATGATAATTAAAGGAACATTTTGCTGAAAATACTTATCACAAGATAACACAAATTCTAATATATATGTATGTATATATATATATATATATATATATATATATATATATATATATATATATATATATATATATATATATATATATATATATATATATATATCCAGTACGCACGATTCAACTATCTCGCGGTATGTAAAGATATCCACAGACTGAATGACTGCCACGTCACTAAGAGATACACACGCCAAGAACGCGTTACATGATTCGTGTATGGTTAAGATAAAAAGCCGACTTGTAAGGCAAGAAAAGAACACAGAGATAAATTTACTGTAAAACTGTTTCCTAGTTTAGACATAGTGCCCGGCCTCATCTTCTGTTGTTTGCGTTTGTGTGAGCGATGGGATAGAGTAAAAAAACAATTTTGATGGGCACCAATACAGTAAAAGTGAAACAAAAAGACAGATATATATATATATATATATATATATATATATATATATATATATATATATATATATATATATATATATATATATATATATATATATATATATATATCCCACTTCACTTTATCCCCCCCCCTGAACGTCCCACCCTGCCATACTCCCTGTCTCCCAACTCTCCCCACCTAAACTCAGCACGTGAGTAAGTTCAAGAGCACCTTTTACCTCCCCTCCCCTCCTCTCAAGTTTTACTGTATCGCTACTTATCGGCTCGCGGGATTAACGGATTAGCGGTGGCTAATGACGTCACACTAGCGTTTCTCGTCTCGGCACTACAAGAGGGCTTAGTGTATCCGTCCCCAGCCCTCAAGTGGGAGTTGCAGTGTGGGTGAGGTGAGGGGGAGGGTATGACATGCATGACTGATTTCGTGGTAGAAAATCGAACCATCACGTGCACGATAAAGATTTTGTTTTACAGATGTTAGACATTGAACTTTGGTTTGTATACCAAGGTTTACATGTGACCGTCTTAAAAAGAAAAAAACCACATCAATTTTTTTTTTAAAATCCTACGATCGAAGTTCTAAAGATCGTGCGTGGGGGATAAGGAAGTATCATAACAAAAGTAGCTATGAATCATCTTAAGTAGACATACATATATACACATGCTTACACAACACTATCAGGATAACATAATTAATTTTAAAAACCATTATTGTTAATTACTTTGAATTATACAATTAATACGTTTTATTTCTTTACTTTTTAAAAATCTAGTCAGCCCTGCTCACATGGACATACTTAATGTTGTCTTCGTCTACCCAGGTATGATGACAGAGAATTGTGTTTGTGTAGAGAAGTTGTAATTTTCTTTTTAATCTGGACTTGGTGTGAAGAGATGGAGCACTTTTAACCAACCTACACTGTGTGACCCCCCCCCCCCCCCACGACAGTACCATGCCAAAACTAAGTTATAAATAGATCTGATCACCGCCGCCATGACGTCACGACTGAGATTAACTAAGCGCCACCTGGGGAGGAGGAATTAATTCCGCGGCATCCCCCAGGGTCGGGCAGGAGCCGGTGCATCACCTGTCGAAATGCCATCCCATTGTGCGCGACCGTCAGCCCCGCACCCACACAATGGGGGGGGGGGAGGCGTGTGGTTGGGCGTGTCAACAATGGCGCACGTCACGTGACCGACGCGGCGGTACCTGACTGTGTCAACATCCGGCACCAGCAGCCGGCATCGACTGTCCCGGTCTACAGAACCGGTCTACAGAACCGGTCTACAGAACCGGTCTACAGAACCGGTCTACACAACCGGTCTACAGAACCGGTCAGTAGAACCGGTCTAAAGAACCAGTTTACAGAACCAGTCTACAGAACCAGTGTTTCTTCCAGACTTTTTTCTCCGGGGGGGCACTTGAAATTTTCGGGGGGGCGGTAAACTTTCTTCGGGGGGGGCGGACACTGTTAAAAGTACATATTTTCTATATAAATTATATAAATTTCATTTCGGGGGGGCTTAGCCCCTCCGAAGAGATGCCTGGAAGAAACTCTGTACAGAACCAGTCTAGAGAACCGGTCTACATAACCGGTCTACAGAACCGGTCAGCAGAACCGGTCCACAGAACTGGTCCACAGAACCGGTTACAGGCTCGACCTATGAGTTGTGGTTTTCAACCATTCCTCGACTTATCACAGTGGTGAACATATCAGTGGTCTAACACGAGTCACAACATTTCCCTGACAGAACCACTAAACTCTATACCACACAGCAACATCAAGAACTATAAGAACACCCAACACCAACACTCAACTATGGCATTACAACAATCACAACACGTCTTTAGCTATTACATTTACAGCACATAACTATAACTTTAGAACACAGCTATAAATGTACTTCAACATCGCTTTAATATAACTAAAGCAAATCTGTAACTCAACTATAACAAACCTATAACTCAGCTATAATAAAGATATCAACTTTAACATAACCATAACATAACTGTAAAAACTAAACATTACGATCACCAAAGCCATAACTCTACTATTATATTTTATAACTAACAATAACTTAACTATAACCTAACAATAAAAAAACTATATCACAACACTGTCCACAACAACACCAAAGCTATAATTCAACTTTAATTTAACCATAACTGAACTATAACAAAGCTATAAAAATATAGCACAACACCGCCCATGATGACAATAAATGTATAATCCAACTATTACATTGTTATAACCAACCACGACATAAAATATCTGTAACGCAACGCCCGCCATAACAAAAACAAAGCTATACCACTACTACCACATAACATAACATAGCTATAAAATCTATAGCACAATAACGCCCATAACCACAATTAATGCCTAACTCAGCTATTACATTGTTATAACCAACCATAACACAACTGTAACGCAACGCCCGCCATAACAAAAACAAAGCTATAACTCTACTATAACCTAACAAAACCCTAACACATCCGTCTTACCGTCAGTTCCCATGGAGCAGAGCAAGGTCTGGCAGCGAGGCAAATGCCAATCAAGGCAGCGAGCAACAGCAGGATCTTCATGTCGTCAGGTCTCTGTGTACGGTCAGACAGCTGAGTGACCAACAGACCGACCACCCCTGGTTTTGTTCCCGAGCCCGTGGGGTAAAGTGGACCAAAAAATGAGGGGTGGTCGCTGTATCTCCACATGTAGGTCTCATTGTGACTCGATCACAAGACCGGCGCTAATCAAGATGAAAACACAAGTGGCCTGTTGACTCAAAAAGAAGACAGATAGCTCTCGTTATCTTTTGATCTACTTTGGTAAAACACGGGAGTGGGTATCTAAACAGATGAACACCCGTTACTGTTATTGATCCTCAGTGTATCTTTAATGTTGGGGGGGGGGGGGGGGGGCACTGGTAAAATCATATGATTTCCATATCAATTCTATTTCGTTCGGGGGGAAAAAAAAGGGGGGGGAGTAAACTTCTTTGCGGGGGGGGGGGGTGCAAGAGATGCATGAAAGAAACGCTGTCGTCAGTTACACTCTCACCTTATAATCCACTTTATGAGGCCTACCCCCTTTTTTGCTTTTGCTCCCCCCCCCCCCCGCCCCATCTTTATACAACCTCAAAGCTGCCTCAGTCATTTATCCTAACACATCGTATCTCTGTTCCAGCCCCACCTCATCCCATCTCTGTCTCTCCATCTCTATCCCATCCCATGTATATATCATTCCTCATCCAACCCCATCAATATCTCATTCCCCATCTCATTTATATCCCGTTCCCTATCCCATGTATGTCCCATTCCCTATCCTATCCCATTTTTATCCTATTCCCCATCCCATTTTTATCACATTCGTCATACCATCAGACATATCCCACAGCTCCTCTGTTCCAAGTTATATTTATCTGTATCCTATCCCATCTTCATCCCCACCACTCCTCTATCCCATACCCATCCTAATCCCAAACCACTTCTACAGGGGTAGTCCATAAACGACGTCACACTCCTAAAAAAAAAAGGGGGGGGGGGTGTCGGACAATGGTAACGAAGTGAAGAGGGCGTACACAAAGGTGACGACACAATTGCATTAGAAGTAATACTTGAAGCTTAACACAGGCCATTGATTCAGATTCTATAGATAAAAAATATTTTTTAAGTGATATAGAAATCTACTAATGTACACCAAGTTCAGTGAATATTTTACAAAGAAATCACTTTTTTAAAAAATTGCTATATATAGGGGATATGGGTGGTATATTGAGGGTCTGACTATTTGTGACGATGTATGCATGGGGGAGAAGGGAGGTAACACTGGTTTTAAATACCGTACTGCCCAGGTAGTTGCGTTACGTCTAAACACCTGGCGCACCGGTTTACCCTCACCACCTACCCACCCATCCCCATCCCCACCCTCCACCCCTGTCCACAAGCACCGATTACAATCTTTACTTCTTGTCTTTACTTTCAAACGTTATCAAAAGACAAAATGAACATCGAAATCTTGATTAGCCAGCTGGTCACGTGACAAGATATTAACTTGCTGATAATTAACACATCCATCTAATGATGTTAGTTTTTGTTAGTTTTTTTTTTTTTACCACAAGTACAGATTTTAACTTCAGCTGCGGATGTAGACTAAACACAAACGATTAGACCATATGTTTCCTGTATTCAGGGCACTGATTCGCCAACATCCCCAACCCCTCCAGAAAAATATATTTTGAATAAAAAAAGCATTGTCCGTATACCCCCCCCCCCCATGTATTTTAAGTGCGCCCCTAGAGTTTCAAGTGCCCCCCACCCCCGCTAAACTTCAGGGTAGAAAAAATATCTGATGTCTGTTTTTTTATTTGACTCGACGCTATGTTGCAGGGTATACTTACAAATACAGTTTAAAATGTTTTAGTTAAATCAGGCCTTGGGTGTAAATATTTTATAGCATATGGGTTTCATTGGTCATTTCGGTACTGTTTAATCGCCTCAGACCCCCCCCCCCCCACCTTCATTCTCCTATTCCCCCCTCCTCTTCCACTTTCTCCACCCTTTGAAAAAATTTTCCCGTTATGATTGCTCTTGTTATATCGCTATTTACTCCCAACCTTTAACCTTGATATTAACCCAAAACTAAACTCACTAACACTAATAATACTTAAGCTTCATTAACCCTTAGCCCTGATTAAAGAACGGATATCGCTAAGCATCTGGCTGTAAGCTAATCAGAAATTCGCTTCGTGATCAAATATTTGAGTGTTAATTGTTTTGAAATTTTTTTCAATAAATAAAATCGATAGAGATCAGTAAAATTAATGGATTACAACAATCTTTAGAGATCGATACTGTATAATTAAACAGATCTATAAAATTGATTTAAAACAGTGTATTGACGGAGATTAATCAAATTAATGTACATCAATAGAATATAGATCAATAAAAGAAAATGATAAGAAAATAATTGATTTATATCAATAAAATCAGTAAAATTCCAATAGTCAATCGAAAGAGATCAATAACATCAAAAAGATCCAATGAAATCGATCAAAAGAAATCAATAAATAGCAAAAGATTTGTATTAAATAGATTGATTTAGACCAATAAAATCAATGAAGATCCAATAAATCGATCGATATTTAGCAATAAAATCAATAAAGATCCATTAAAGATCTAATAAACTCAATCGGCGTAGATCAATAAAATCGATACTGATCGACTAGCCCAATCATGTCCTGACCCTCGCATGCCAACAAGGCATCAAAACGTTATCAAGACGTTATCAGCGAGATACGCTCAAGATGGTCTCTGACTCGTCGTCACCGCCGGCTCAACAACCACTGGACGAGCCAGACCACGTGACCCCCGCCGTCAGGTGATTGGAGCACCAGGCCGAGATATCTCAGCGCGGAGAGATAGAGTGAGGTGAGGGAGATAGGAGACAAAGTGCAGTTTTCGTGGGTTCATCTTGTCTAGGGCTATTTGTCGCGGGTCCTACGCTACAAGTCCATACGTCTGAACGTCTTACCCAAGTCTGCGCCACTATCCCTTCATATGCCGAGATATCTGCAACAGATGAACTCTACTTCACCTGCCCCATGTGTTAGGTGGAAGAGCTCATGGTTGCTAACTCTTAAAGTCGCGGGTTCTAACCTCAGGACAGATGATGCTCGTTAGCTGACGTCAGTAGCCTATCTAGGGGACACAACTCCAAAATCAAATCCCTGCTGGGGTCGTAGTGATCGAGTGGGTAAAGCTCATGGTTGCTAAACCGAAAAGTCTCGAGTTCGAACCCTCGGGCAGATGAGGCTCGTTAGCTGGGGACAGCCACTCTTCTAGGAGAGAGAACACCAAAATCAAACAACTGCTGCCTTGTAGTTTGTTCTTGGTTGGACAAAGGCTATGGAAGCAAATCCAAAAAGAAAAGCAGGCTGAAATCGGAGTCAATGGCCTCAATGGCGCATAACCAGTTAACACGTATACTTAATTGTGTTGGAGGTGTGGTCGAGTCGACAAAAAGCTCATGGTTGATAAATTCGAAAAAAGTATCGAGTTCAAACCCTCTGGCAGATAAGGCTCGATCCCTTCCAACACTAAAAATTAAGAACGAAGAAGAAGAAGAAAATCACGGCTGTCTTGCAGATTCAACAACAACTCGAAGTCAACTGACAATTTTTCTTACGTTGACATGTAATGCTTTATTATGTAATGCTTTATTATGTAATGCTTTATTATGTAATGCTTTATTATGAAATGCGTTATTATGTTGAAAGAAAACCACTTCAGTGTTACAGCTAAGAACGAAGATGAAGAAGAAAAGTAACAGATTACTGTGGTATAAATAAGTTTGCTCCACCATACAGTTTCTACTAAACATCACCCACCGATGATTCGACACTACGTCCAGCTAATGTCCCAGATTCCCAACAAACTAATCAAAGATGAAGAAAACCTAATCAACAGGGACGGTGATAAGTATCTGTGCTACAGACCACGCGAGATCGCGTCGATACGTCGGTCTAATCAGATGGGCGTTTAGCACATTCGTTGACCTAGTTCATCGGATTTGTACCATATCAACACTTCTAAGACAGCGTAGTTGCGAAATTGGTCTCATATAATAGATATATACATATATATATATATATATATATATATATATATATATATATATATATATATGTATATGTATATATATATATATATATATATATATATATATATATATATACGAGAAAAATGGCCCGTTGAGGAAGGGTACAACGGGCGCTAGGCTGATAGTGCTGTCTCTTTTCTCTAAACTAAAACCAACCCACCCCCCCACACACCACCCCCACCCTACCCCCCACCCCCCCACACCACCCCCACCCCCACCACACACCACACACCACCCCCACCCCTCACTCCCACACACCACCCCCTCCACACACCGCCCCCCACCCCCCACCCCCCCAAAAAAAAAACATGGCTACCGTCCAATTCAACGAAATATAATTATATACTTTTTCCAGTGTCCGCCCCCTCCCAGAAAATTCTACCCCCGCCCCCGAAAATTTCAAGTACCCCCACCCCTCTCCGGGGAGGAAAAAGTCTGAAAGAAACACTGAAACCAACCCACCCCCCCCACACACCACCCCCCCCCCCACACACCACCCCCACCCCCCCCCCACACCACCCCCACCCCACCCCACACCACCCCTCCCCACCCCTCCACCACCCCCACCACCCAAAAAAGCATGTCTACCGTCCCATTCAACGAAATATAATTATATACTTTTTCCAGTGTCCGCCCCCTCCCAGAAAATTCTACCCCCGCCCCCGAAAATTTCAAGTACCCCCACCCCTCTCCGGGGAGGAAAAAGTCTGAAAGAAACACTGAAACCAACCCACCCCCCCACACACCACCCCCCCCACCCCCACACACCCCCCCCACCCCTCCACACCCCCCCCCCCCCCCCCCCCCCAAAAAAAACATGTCTACCGTCCCATTGCAAGAAAACCACTTTTTAGATTAGACACATTAATTAGGCGGTAATTTTATTATAGAGTATCGATGAGGAAATTTCTTTTGAGTTGGGGAGGGGGGGGGGGGGGGCTCAGACGTTCTTACGCGGGGGGTGGGGCTTCGCCCCTACCCGAAGAATTGTATGCAAGAAAATCTTCACGCAAACCATTTAGATTAGACAACATTTCCTTTTTTTCAATGTAGAACCAATGACGTCATTACATTACTGTGTGCA